ATTGATGAATAGAAGGACCGAACTAGGTTCAAACTGATAACCCCTCTTGATTTGCAATCAAATACTCTACCACCATTTTGTATGATCTTAACCTTAGTGATCCCTTACAGAGTGTCGGTCCAAAAGTGACCCTAACCAATCGAGTTCGAGCCAAAAGCAATCATCAACCAACATGTAAGAAGAATAGAAGGGCCCAACCAGGTTCGAACTGGTGACCACTTAATCTACAGTTAAATGCTCTACCACTAAGCTATGTGTCACAATCACACTGGACGAGCATGACCGTGACACTATGGACCCATTTTGTGTGATTTCAACCGTAGTGATCCCTTCTAGAGTGTCGATCCAAAAGTGACCCTACCCAATCAGGTTTGAGCCAAAAGCAACAAACATGAATGAATAGAAGGGCCCAACCAGGTTCGAACTGGTGACCACTTAATCTACAGTCAAATGCTCTACCACTAAGCTATGTGTCACAATCACACTTAATGAGCATGACCGTGACACTATGGACCCATTTTGTGTGATTTCAACCTTAGTGATCCCTTCTAGAGTGTCGATCCAAAAGTGACCCTACCCAATCGGGTTTGAGCCAAAAGCAATCATCAACAAACATGTATGAATAGAAGGTCCCAACCAAGTTCAAACTAGTGTCCTCTTGATCTGCAGTCAAATGCTCTACCACTGAGCTATGGACCCATTTTGTATGATCTCAACCTTAGTGATTCGTTCTAGAGTGTCGATCCAAAAGTGACCCTACCAATCGAGTGAATAGAAGGGCCAAACCAAGTTCGTACTAGTAACCTCTTGATCTACAATCAAATGTTTTACCACTAAGCTATGGACCCATTTTGTATAATCTTAACCTTAGTGACCCCTATTCATGGATAAATTTAAGGGGCTAACCAAGTTTGAACTGGTTGACCTTTTGATGTGCAGTCAAATGCTCTACCACTAAGCTATATACCCATTTCGTATCATCTCAACCTTAGTGATCCCTTTTACAGAGTGTCGGTCCAACCCTACCCAATCGAGTTTGAGCCAAAAGCAATCATCACTCTACATGGATGAATAGAAGATCCAAAAGCGATCATACATGAATGAATAAAAAAATGATTCATGGATCCATTTCGTATGATCTCAACCTAGTGATCCCTTCAGTCGGTCCAAAAGCAATAATCACCCTACATGGATGAATAGAAGGGCCCAACCAAGTTTGAATTGACGACCTCTCTTGATCTGCAGTTAAATGCTCTACCATTGAGCTGAGGACCAATTTTGTATAATCTCAACCTTAGTGACCCCTTCTACAGAGTATCGGTCCAAAAGTGACCCTACCACTAAGCTATGAACCCATTTTGGATAATCTCAACCTTAGTGACCCTTCTACAGCGTATCGGTCCAAAAGTGACCCGAGTGGTTCCCACATGGATGAATGAAAGGGCCCAATCGGGTTCAAGAACTGCACAAGCTACTGACCCCTTCTATAGAGTATCGATCCAAAAGTGACCCTACCCACTCAGGTTCGAGTAGTTCCTACATGGATGAAGGAAAGGGCCTAATTGGGTTCGAGAACTGCAAAAGCTACCTACATGGGTAAATAGAAAGAACCTCTTGATCTGTAGTCAAATGCTCTACCACTGAGCTATAGACCCATTTATATGATTTCAACCTTATTGATCTCGTCTACAGAGTGTCGGTCCAAAAATGACTCTACCCAATTTGAACTTTTATAAGTAACATTAATATCCTTACCGATTTAGAATTTTTTTTAAAAAAGTTTTTACTTTAATACTTTTAAAATTGGAAAAAAAAGATGATCTATAAGATGTAGGTAGACGTTTCTTTTCATATATTGACAATAAGATTTTTTTTTTTTTAAAATAAATCATAAACTTTAATAGTGTTAATGCTATTTTTAAAATCTCAGTGCTAAACGTGGGATACTTTTAAATTTTTTAAATTAAAAGCATCAATTAGTTCTTAAAAATTCAAAGATATTTTTAAAATAAATTATTGACCGTTTTCTTTTCAAATTATTATTATTTTTTAAATTTAAGTTAAAAGTTTAAGGGTATTATTAAAAAATTTAAAAATTTATAGATATTTTTATTAATTTAGTCGAAATCTTTTAATAGTGATACGAGATCTTTTCCGACATTAAAACCTATCCAATACTTTTTCAAATTTGTTTTATTCCACAGGTAATCTTGGAAATGATAAAGATTGGCACTTATGTGAGCCTTATTGTCCTCTCACCAATACATTTGTATGTTCTAAGCTTCCTCCAGTCAGAGTTGGATCGGATTGAATTCGATTAAAAAATTTTGAGGTTTTGAGATGAATGATGTTTATTTTTGTAAAGGGTCGTGATTTTTTTGTGAGATCTCATCTCGATTAAGAGGAGAACGAAATATTTCTTATAAGAAGGTAGAAACTTTTCTCTAATAGACGCATTTTAAAACCGTGAGACTAACAACGATACGTAATGAGCTAAAGTAGACAATATCTATTAACGGTGGCTTGGACCGTTACAAATGGTAATAGAGCCAGACATCGGCCAGTGTGCTAGCGAGGACATTGGACCCTCAAGGAAGGTGGATTGTGAGATCCCACATCAGTTGGAGAGAAGAAAACATTCCTTATAAAGTGTGAAAACTTCTCCTTAACAAACAAATTTTAAAATTGTAAAGCTAACGACGATTCGTAACGAACTAAAGCGGACAATATATACTCTACTGTTACAATCCATCCACGACCACACTATGTTTGAAAGATAAAAGATGGTCCAAAGCCTACTCAACAAGATAAGCCTTGTGGGTAACAATGACATGCTATGAAGCAAGAACTTGCAGTGGACATGACCACCTAATTAGTGCTATGACCACTTTTACAAAACTCATCTAAGATCATCCAAACAAAACATGTCTTATCATGAGTAATGTTTTTTTTTTTTTTTTGAAGTAATTATAATTAATATTTTCGCGTTGTCGATCCTAGATTAGGTTGAATTAGGCTGAAACATTGGTTCGACTCAACCACAAGTTGGTTCAAGTTGAAACATCTTTTAGACCTAACCTAATTGTTCGTGTTAATAATGAACTAACCCAACCGAACCATAACTTTTTTTGGACTTGGTTGAATTAAGTTGGTTCAAATGGTTCAAATTGTTTACTCATTTTTATTTTTAATATTTTATTTATTTATTTTCAAACATTTAATTAAAATTTGTAACTCAATTTCAATATATATTTTCACACGAGCCTATGAACTAGCTCAATCTATAAAATTTTCATTTATTTGAATCCAACCCAACTCGACCCAAATAAATTAATAACTCAACTCAAACCGTACACGTTAGGTTGGATTGATTGGATTTTCTGAAAACCTCTACCAATTAAAACCTATTATCGATTGACAAATCATTATTCGACATTATCGTTTTGAATTATTTTGACATAATTAGTGTAATTTGATCACCAACTCTCTTTAGTGGAAAACATGAAAAGATTTGCGTGTAATTACCAATCCAATCATATTTGGATTTGGTTGAGATGATTTTATGAACTTATTTTATTGGTGAATGTGACAATAAAAGGGTACACGTGGCAGAAGCCCACCTTGTTCATACATTTTGCCACATGGGCCACCTGTCAGCATGTTTTGCCATGTGGACAATTAGGGTTTTTCCATTAGTAATTAATTAATTAATTAATGTTCATGTCAGCATGTCTTGTCACCAACCCATTATCATTATGTCTCCCAATTAGAAACTTCTAACTTCTTTTTATCCATTCTAAACCCCTCATGAGTTGGTAAAACATTTTTTCTTTTTGGGTTACTCAAAATTTTTGAAAAACAAAATTATGAGTGACACTTTTATAGTCGGAGTCAGCTCGACTAATCTGAAAATAGGGTTACGATCCAATTCCCCGAAAAACAGAGTAAATTCCTCCTAGTGACATTTTTATAGCGAGTCAACTCAGAACCAAATGCATGGGAGGATTAATAGCAAATTCAAAATTCATACATCGTCCCATAGGCATAACTGTCGTTTTGACCAATACCATGTAGTCCTTTGGTTGGGTATTAGGGCCGCTCTCACGACCTGCAAAACTAGATATCCATAAAAGTATTTGTTGCAAGAAAAAATCCTAAAATTTTCTATGGATTTAGTTAAGTATAATGTATTTGTAATAATTCAAACTCATTGCTAATAAATATTATCTGTTTAATCCATTACAAATCGCCGTTAGTCTCATGATTTTAAAACGCGTCTATTAAAGAAAAGTTTTCACATATTTATTAGGAATGTCAACTGACTCTCGTTCAAACGGCCATAATAATATAAAGAATACAAGAATAGAACGATCGAGAAGTAACCCACCAACACAATTAAACTAATATAAAAAGGCCTCAACCAAGTCTATGGCCATTGTGGTCAAGGAAGTTTAACTAAAGAGGACACCTTTTATCTCACCTAAAAGCCTAAAACTACATCCACTTTAGATAAATTTTCAACCCCCATGTAAAAGGTTTGATTATCAACTTCCTAAATTATTAATTATTATTTTATTAACATATTTACATACACGGACCTGCCATGTGGGTTCACGACATCAGGTTAGAACATGTTAAAAGACTTAATTTACCTAATGACATCAATTAATCATCTAACTTAGTTCTAAATACTTTAAATTGGCCAAACACTCGTTCGTACTAGCTTCAAATGATTTTGGTAGCATAAAATATGTTTTAAAATTAGCCATAAATTCGAGTAGGTTCAATTCATCCGAATCAAATTTTATGAGAACCTATAAATCAACTCAATCGTAACACAGTATAGTGGACTCGTGATTCAGGCAATCCAATCTTAAAACTCGGTTGAACAATTCCATTGCCTGCCCCTCTATTCCCGGAGCTACAACTGAATGAAACGAAACCCTGACCGGAACAGGAACAAAGAAAGAAGGAAGGATCAATCCATAAAATTTTCATCAATTAGAACTTAACCAAATCCAAATAAATTCGTAACCCAATCCAAACGTGAGTTGATCAAGTTTTTCAAATTATCGGAGTTTTTAGAACACTACAACTAGCTTGTATTGATATCATATTTGCAAACCTCACAGATGATGAAGTACAGAACATCCCCCCTCCCCCGCAAGCTTTATTTCATATTTTACCATCCCAACAAAAGAAAATAAGTCCTCTTTTCCCTCCTAACTCAACTCACATGCTACACCACAAAGTAAACGTTTCCTAAATGTAATCAGTAGGATTCGAATTCATTAAGCAGCAGATGGAGAAGGCTTTAATTTTTTTGGTGGCGGGTTTCCCCCAGAAATTACCACATATAAGTAGAAGCACAACATTGCAGCACTGTGAGAGAAACAAAGCCAAAACAAATTTGCGTTGAGAGGATTTGATTAATCTGAAGTAGAGTTAGCGAAGGAAGACATGTCAGTCAGAACTATCAAAAAAAAGTTTACCTGAGTGCAGCGTATAAGGCCGATGGAAACACGTTTTTGGTCTACAATCACGAAAATAGTATAATCACAACATTAATATCTATTGACTCGGGTCAAATATTTATATGGATAAAGGGCATACCGATGAGTACGTCTGAAAACTATTCCAGAAAAACGAGGCGGTAAGTACTGCAAAGATGGTAAGCACACAGTCAAATTCAGAACTTGAACATAACTTTTGTATTTTGAACCATTAAAACATGCTGTATGCATATATTATGTATACAACTAAAACGAGGTGGTTAGAATGCACGAGCGTACAAGAAGACAGTCCACCAAGAGAGACCGAACTACTAACTACACGAAAAAAGGCTCCGAGGACCTAATTAAAACACATTATATTGCATGTCTGAAGTATATTTAGAGGGAGATGCAACTGACTTAAAAGAGTAACCACTTGAAAGAGTAACCAAATCAATTACCTGCTTGTCCTAGAATATATGGCAAACTGGACTTCCCCTGCCTCCAGATTTTCAAACTTAAAGTGCTCAGAGCCAGCAAAGCACCCCCAGAGATCAAACTGGTCAATGCAGACGGGTTTCTTGAAAATATTAAGCTAATAAGGCCACCACTTAGAACAATTCCACCTGTAACGAGTTCATAATCAAACGTTAGGGGGGGTAAGAACATGGCACCACTAGGTTGTGTTCTTTCAAAGTGGAAGGCATGTTTTATTACACAGGAAGGAAAGGTTCTGAACTTAAGCGAACATACCAAGATTAATAGATGTGGGATCTCTATTGCTTTAACGTTCCGATTTATCAGTTTATCATTATTCCAATAAAAGAAACTGTCAGATACTATCATTATTTGAAACCCTCTAATTCAATATCATCACGTCGATAACAAACGAGGAGAAACAGACTAAGTCACGCATATTCTCGACATTGCATTGAAACAGAACAGGACATCATCTAGAGACTCTTAAAGTTTAACAAATACAAGAAAGAAATTACAAATTATCCAGTACCCTAAAGAGAGTTTGTAAGGCAATCTGTTCTGTATCAACACTGCTAAAAAAAAAAAATTCCAGAGACCAAAGCAGTAAACAAGAATAAGAACTAGTAGGGCAATTCGAGACAGCCAGCTTCTTGTCCCAACACAAATCCCACACACGTGATGATTACATCATACCTGCTATATATATGTGCAGTTTATACTAACTCTCAATGTTACATTACCATTTCCACCTCTCCCTCCAGTAAACTTACAGCACAGATAAAGGCCAATAAGTTCAGTAACACCCAAAAGCTTCATGACACGGGGAAAAGAAAAGCAAATAGATTCAGCTTTCTAAAGGTTGTTAAGCGGAGAACATATGTAATTAACAGATTGGCAAATGGCATTTTGTTTTCTCCTTCACGGCCTAGGCATAGGGCATGCTGAGTCAAATTTTCTTGTAATACCATTGACGACGAAGTTTTCTTTCTTATATTCAGCCTGAATGAGAAAACGGGAAATGGGTACTGAAGAATTGAAATAATCCCTCACTATTTTATCTCTGTTTAAAGTTTTTGTTGCATGAGCTCCTTAAAGATCACTGTTTACCAGAATACATTATGAAAATTAACCTCAACCAGCTGGTTATTTTTTCCATTCCATTCGTGATCCTCATGGATCATATGATTTGTGTCATCTCAGTCAGTCTAGAGCCAGTAGGTCAAGGCATTTGGCGATCAAATCAACCATTCACATTTCAAACTGAATGAATGCATTTCTAGAAAAGCTACTCGTTTCTTATAAAAAATAAGTGATTGCAAAAAACTAAGGCTTTGATCAGGTTACAGTTGCTTAATAGCTACATTTAACACAATAAATCATCATTCAATGTAATGCATTTGAGAAACAATTGTGAGAAACAATATTAGGAGGGGAGGAAGCACTTCTTCTCCTCCTCAAGTGAAAGCTGCTACAAGCAGCTAGCCTATAAATGACAAAAGAATGCAAAACTCACCGAAGGGAATGCCAAAACAGAAATCATGGATTTTTGCTGATCGTTTAGGCACAGTGCCAACGTCGTTCTCTACATTTCCAACATCAGACGACTCTTCAACACCAGGATATGAATTTGAGGTAACTTGAGATTCTGATGCATAAGTGGCATCGCTTAAAGTTGTCTTAGTCTGGGCATCAGCATCAGCAGTATTTGAAGCAGATCCTTCAAGGCTCATAACAATCGAGAACTAAAATAGGAAAACTCAAGTATCAGTTCAATCGATTATGCCACTTGATGCCCTCGTGTTTACCACCATTAACCTAAGCCATTACTTAAACACAGCACAAGAATTAAGCACTTTCAAGAAATGACCATTGCAAAACTTTTAAAATTAAATGGGAACTGTCCTATCTCTTGTCAATTCGAAGTTCGATCTAAGTTCTAAAAAATGTACAGATGAAGTATCGATGAAAACTCTAACGAGTAAACAAAGCGAAAAATAAATTCAAGCAGAGACGCAATAAAATTCAAGCAGCAGCAAGAGATTATTAGATTGAACGTAATATTAAATCAAAATCATTCAACCCAACTTGCAAAAGATACTGTATCTGAATTAAAACATTCAAGTAAAATATATCGAATTTAATGTTAACTATCCGTCCTTGAATGAATATAAATCAAATCCCAGACTTACATAAAAAGCGTTTTCATCACTAATTCATAATAGCGAAACAGACTCATAACTCATCGAAATTCACAACAATTTCTTCAAATCTCGGATTCATAAAGTTGCCAAAAGAAATCAGAAACAAGAATACGAAAATGAAACACAAACCTTAGGCAAGGAAAGAGAAGGGCGAGGAGCTACTAATGAGCGGCGCTGTTGCAGGCGAAAGCCACGGTTGATAGCGAAGAAGCACGAAAACTGAGACGCTGTCGCCACCATTTTTTTAGATCGGAGCAAGGCTAAATCGAGCAATCCACGGAGTGAAAATTCAACAAGGAGGATCTGAGTTCCAATTGAATGTGATGAATGGAGGCTTTAGAGGATTATACTTATTCGAAGAATCTGGATCGTCTCCACGTTTTACAGAAGACTGAACGAGTTGAATTCATATTAAAATTTTTAAAAAGAAAATACCTTATTTTTCAATAATACTAAGCCTAAATTAATAAAAATGCTCCTTTAATTTAAATTTTAAAAAATTTCCACCTAAAAAAACATTTATATTTAAAAAATATCCATAAAATTTTAAAATTACATTTTATCTATATATATAAAAGAATATAACACTCACTAAATTATCTATTAAATAAATAAACAAAAATTCAAAATATTTTTTTATTTTTTATTTTTGGGATTTTTGTATTAGAAATGTTTTTTTTATTATTTATTTAGAAATAAATTCATCTCATCATCTGAGTTTTTACAATGGGCTTGATTCAAGTAACCTCCACAAGCACTGAAATCAACAATGGAGCTTCTCCTCTGCAAAATTCCCAAGCGCCGAAGCTCTTAATCTTCAAACCCTAACCCCAAACTCTCCTCATTAAGCTTTACGATCATGCCATTCTTCCTCGCACCTTCAGTCTTCCGTTCTTGCCGTCTCAAGTATTTTGAAGCAACGCGCCTTTCGTCTCTGTTCTACGCCATCCGCCATGTATCTTTCCTTTTACTGCTTCTTTTACTTATATTAGTTCAGACCTTTGTCTTAAATTGATATTATTTGTTCTTGTTGGAATTTCAAGCTTTTTATTTCTGGGTTTTGTCTGTAATGTCCTCTTGATTGGAATGAATTAGATATTGGCATAAAACTATAGTTGTTTTCTTGTGAATGTGAAAAGTGTGAGATCCTACCTCGGTTGGAGAGCGGAACAAAGCATTCTTTATAAAAGTGTGGAAATCTCTTCCTAGCCGATGCGTTTTAAGAACTTTGAGAGGAAGTCCGAAAGGGTGGTGTGCTTGAGCTGTTACAAATGATATTAGAGCTAGACACTGGGTGAGGTGCTACTGAGAACGTTGGGCTCCGAAGGGAGGTGGATTGTGAGATCCTACATCGATTGGAGATAGGAACGAGGGCCTGTGAGGATGCTGGCCTGAAAAGGGGGTGGACTGTGAGATCCCATATCGATTGGAGAGAAGAACAAGTGCCAGCGAGGATGCTGGGTAGCGAAGGGGGGTGGATTGTGAGATCTCATATCGGTTGGAGAGGGGAATGAAGCATTATTTATAAGAGTGTAGAAACCTCTTTCTGGTAGACGCGTTTTAAAAACCTAGAGAGGAAATTCGAAAGGGAAAGCTCAAAGAGGACAATATTTAATAGCGGTGCATTGGGGGGCTACAAATGGTATCAGAGCTAGACACTGGATGGTGTGCCAGCGAGAACGCTGGGCTCTAAAGGGGGGTGGATTGTGAGATCCCACATCGATTGGAGAGAGAAATAAGTGTCAGTGAGGTTGTTGGGTCCCGAATGGGGTGGATTGTGAGATCTCACATCGGTTGGAGAGGGGAGCAAAGCATTCTTTATAAGGGTGTGGAACCTCTCCCTAGCAGACACGTTTTAAAAACCTTGACAGGAAGCTCGAAAGAAAAAGTTCAAAGAGGACAATATCTGCGAGGAGTGAAGTGAGCGCATTTCACGGTTACACAAAGGAAAAGGAAGAAATGAAAGGATTTAGATATCATTTTTGGATAATGGGGCTTTTGAAAGTATTTTGTCTCTGTTTAGCTTTCAATTTAGTAAGATTTTATTGATGGGTTTTCCCAGTTTTGTGTTTCTTTTGTGACCCTTTTCACTGTTGTTACAGAAGGGAAGGAGAGATGTGATCAGCTGCTTTGGTTTGGATGCTTGTCATTTTTCCTCACTAGGTAAAAGCGCCCGCGATCTCTTTCTTTGTTGCTCATTTGTGACGATCCTAGATTTCTACTTACCTAGAGTCGCTACCGTCATTATAGCGTAATCATTTCTATACAGAAATAGACGTTTAAACTTTTTTATAAGACATAAACTTCATGTTAAAACATAGTCAAGGACTTACGTATTCGAAAACATCATTAAAACGACACAACAATAAACTAAATGAAACAAACAAACATTTAAATTAGAAACATCTTATTCTAGCCTAAGTCTAAGAAAATAAATGTGACTACCTTATGGATGTGTCATTGTCTCAAATTGCGATACCGTTGTCAGCCGTACAGGGATGTTTTGCCTTTATCTAAAATAGAAGTAGCATGTGGTTTGGGTATTTTAAGAAATACTCAGTAAGTGATTTCTCTATTAGGGTTAAATGCAAACACGTACAATTCCATGAATGGGACTTATCATAACAGTCTATTTTCCTACGGCAGCCATCCTAACGGACAATTGGGATGTGTACTTAATTTCCATTAGGAATAGCGACCATCACAATAGTATTATGATAACATAATGATTATTCTCTTGTCTCGAGCGTACGCGTCCGTACTATCGTGAAGGATAAGGGGTATCCCCCAATGCATGAGCACACAATAATGCATGAGGTCCCAACATTTTTTCATTTTCATTATCATTTAATACAACTCCGCTAGCGTCTTCTTTTTCCTATCATATTAACTTGCTTGTTATTTTTCCTCACTAGGTAAAAGCGCCAGCGACCTTTTTCTTTGTAACTCATTAGTTATATAAGAGATGTCCAATTGATGGTTTCTATTTACCTGATACACCTTAATTTGTGTTTATGGCTTTAGTTGATGTTTCGGAGTTCGAATGTGATAAGCTTAGTGATGATACTAGAACAACAGAGAAAGATGCTGCACTACGTTTGGCAGTCACTCAGCTTGCTGGTGAGTTTGGGAAGGAATCTATGTTGTGTTTGCAGAGGTTTTTCAGCTCCCGGAATGCACCTGTGATTTCTACTGGATCATTAAAGCTTGACCTTGCTCTTGGGATTGGAGGATTACCTAAGGTGAGTAATTGCAAGTCGAATTCTTCTTCTGCCTTATATTTGATTCATTCATGTACTTTTGGAATTGGAATGTGTTTGCAGTTAAAGTTCGTGTCGGGTTGATTTGAACATAAACAGGTTTAACGGTCGTTACTTTGTATCGTCGTCCTATCTTATAGGAGAAATTTGCTTATGCATGTTTTGAACCTTACCATAGTTGGTTTGTTGCATGTTATTTAGTATCATATTTCATTTCTTCATGTTGTTTCTTCAAGGGTGGGTTTGAGTGGCAACCATGTTGAGGATTGTTGGAATCCCACGTTGCTAATTAAGAGAAAGATCATAGGTATATAATTAAGGATTACTATCTCCATGTATGAGGTCTTTTGGGGAAACCGAAAGCAAAGTCATGTGAGCTTATGCTCAAAGTGGACAATATTATATCAATATTGAGAGTTGTTCCTAACATGGTATCAGACTCATGCTCTTATCTTAACTTAGTCATGTCAATAGATTTCTCAAGTGTCGAACAAAGAAGTTGTGAGCCTCGATTATGTAGTTATAGTGTGACTCAGATGTCGAACAAAGTTGTGAGTCTCGAAGGTGTAGTCATAGTGAAGATTCGTGCTAAGCTCTATTGGACCCAGAGAAAAGGAGTCATCCAGATAGTTTAGACGGACAGATGACTCTTTGAGGGGATGCTCAATGGTGGGTGTAGTCATAGTGAAAATCCGTGTTAGAGCTCTATTGGACCAATAATGTGCTCCAGATAAAAGGAGTCGTTCTGATAGTGCTAGACAAATAGATACTGTTTAAGGGGAGACTCAATGGTGTACTTTGTTCGAGCGGAGGATTGTTAGAGTCCCACATTGACTAATTAAGCGGAAGATCATATGTATATAAGTAAGGGACACTATCTCTATTGGTACGAGACCTTTTGGGGAAACCAAAAGCAAACTATGAGAGCTTATACTCGAACAATCATGTAGTTTCAGCATGATTCAGTTCTAAGTCGTATGATTATTTATAAATTACATAATGCATACTTAAGAAAGTTTGCAAAAGCATTGTTTGTGAGCACTCTACTTGCTATGCAGGGAAGAATAGTTGAACTTTATGGGCAAGAAGCTTCTGGAAAGACAACATTGGCGCTCCACATCATTAAGGAGGCTCAGAAACTAGGAGGTATCTGTTGGTTTTGCCTTTTTTTTTGGATCAGAATGATAACTGCCTGTTGATAATTCTGACAAGTTGTTTAGTTTAAAATATTTTGTTCAAGATGAAACCCATTTGGTTTAGTATCAACCCGGATTTTTATACCGTCCTTTTTTTCATGCTCGTTCTTCGTTTTTATCCAATCTCATAACATATTGAAACTACTTGTTCGGTCATGGATTGTTATTGTTGAGAATTATTAAAAAGAGTAGTCCCTGATGGGCTAATTAAGAGGAAAATGATGGGTTTACAAGTAAGAAATACTCTCTCCATTGTCATGAGACTTTTTAGGGAAACGAGAAGCAAAACCATGAGAATATATGCTCAAATTGAAAAATATCATACCATTGTGGAGGTTCGTGATTTCTAACTGGTATTAGAGCTATGCTCTTAATTTAGTCATGTCAATAAAATTCTCAAATGGCGAACAAAAACGTTGTGAGCCTCGAAGGCGTAGTCAAAGTGACTCAAGTGTTGAACAAAGGGTGTGCTTTGTTTGAGGGCTCCATAGGCCTCAGGGGAGGCTCTGTGGTGTACTTTGTTCGAAGGGAGGATTGTTGAAAATTATTGAAAAGAGGGGTTCCACGTTGGCTAATTACGAGAAAAATCCTGAGTTTATAAGTAAGGAACACTATTTCCATTAGCATGAGGCCTTTTGGTAAAACTAAAAGCAAAACAATGAGAGCTTATGCTCGAAGTGGACAATATCATACCATTATGGAGGTTTGTGATTCCTAACAAGGTATCAGAGTCATGCCCTTAATTTAGCCATGTTAATAAAATCCTAAAATGTCGAACAAAGACGTTGTGAGCCTCGAAGGTGTAGTCAAAAGTGACTCGTGTTTGAGGGCTCTAGAGAAAGGAGTCGAGCCTCGATTAAGGGGAGTTTGTTCGAGGGTTCCATGGGCCTCAGGGGAGACTCTATGGTGTATTTTGTTCGAGGGGAGGACTATTGAGAATTATTG